GAACCACTTTCCTTTGAATGGAGAATAAGACAAAGGGAATGTTTCTGGATAGGAAACAGAGATTGAACCAGAAAGAGAATCATCATTTTTATTTGCTGCTGGAACATAAAGTCCTTTTCCATAAAGGTTTGGGTTAAATGGTGTCTCCAATACCTAGAAAAGAAAGGCAGTGGCGATCCCCATCATTAACTGCTATGCCACTACTCCTTGACTGAGTTGGCTCACTGTGCTACTTGGTTACCAGAAACCAGTTCCTTGAAATAAAATCCACTCCACCTCAATTCATAAGTTGCCCTAAATGATCTTTATGTTTAGATGGTGCCTTCTTCTAGATGTTCAGAAAGTTGTTACCCAGGATATGCCAAGCTCATGAGAGAGGGAGCACCAATTTGCTGCTATGACTGTTCTCTGTGTATGGAAGGAACATTTTCTATGCAAGAAGGTAGGTAGCCCAGGGAAGAAAAGGGAAATCAAGGATGCAATCAATATTCACTCTTGTTTTTCAGGGCAATATTTATTAAAGTTGTTTACTTTCCTGCCAGCTGGAGATCTGATTAGGAGCATAGTAATTTCATATTCCACAAAGCAATAAAAATTAAATTTCTTGACAGATCCAAACTTTTCAAGGATTGGATACCATCAACCAAGCTTGTCTGATGATGTGGCTATTAAAATACATAATGAAAGGGAAATGAAATTTTTCAAGTTGTTACCTTTTTACCTGGTTTCAGGAAAGAAGACACATTTTGCAAGACTTGATAATCTCATTGGTCTCTCAGTCTTTTTAAAAAAAACTATGGTTATTTTTAATTAATGCTGGGACCTACAAATTCCTCAGGGAAGAAATACTGAAATATTTCCAGCCACAGGCCAGACTTGGTGATCTAAGAGCCACACTCCATAATGAAAATGGAGTGAAAACATAAACTTTATTCCACTTAAATTAGGCAGGAAAATTTTGAGTTAGTACAATTTGAGTTCACACAGTCAACAACTTTATTCCACTTCCTGGAACCAGAGGTGGCATTCAACAGGTTTTGACCAGTTCTGGAGAACCGGTAGTAGAAATTTTGAGTAGTTTGGAGAACCAGCAAATACCACCTCTGATTGGAGATTTTACAGTATCCTTCCTCTGCAATGCCCACCAACCTATGCCCACAAACTGGTAGTAAAAAAAATTGAATCTCACTACTGCTTGGAACAATCAAGTGAGTGAACTTAATGTAAGAGCCCTTGTCATTATAAAATATGCAAAGAAATAAGACAACAACTATGTCTCAATATAACTAAATTAATTAAAAGCAAAGATCCAGATTTTTGCCCATCTTTTGCCTTTTATCTTTCAGGTCATTTTCAGCTCCATGTCCCAAATAACGTCTCACTATAACACATTGTTGGTTTATCTTTTATGAAATATGTTCTCTCACTATCCAATGCACACTATCCAATGCACAACCAAATACAATGGGAAAATATTTTTGAGTATGTTCTTGACTGACCTCAATATCCTCTCTCACTTTTAAAAACATGTTTTATATAGTGTAGTAGTAATAATTGATTTTAATAATTTTCATGTTTCTATGGCTGCAGAACTAGACAGTTGATATTTTTTCAGATGCAGCCGATTGTGAAAAGTGTCCAGATGACCAGTATTCCAATAAGAAGTGGGATCAATGTGTCCCCAAAAGCATAAGCTTCTTATCCTATGAAGAATCATTGGGACTCATCCTCACTTTCTTTGCCATTGCTTTGTCCCTAACCACTGCCTTCATCCTGGGAATCTTCATTAAACACCAAGAAACTCCCATAGTCAAAGCCAACAACCGTGAACTCACCTATGTTCTCCTGGTTTCTCTCCTGTTTTCTTTCTTGACCTGCCTTCTATTCATTGGTCGCCCCATGAAAATGACCTGTGTCCTTCGACAAACCATTTTCAGTATTGTTTTCTCAGTTGCCGTATCTTCTTTGCTGGCCAAGACTGTAATGGTGGTGGTGGCCTTCCTGGCTACCAAGCCAGGGAGCAGGATGAGGAAATGGTTGGGGAAAAGTCTGGCCAACTCCATTGTCTTGTCCTGTTCTGGAGTTCAGGTGGGCATCTGCCTAACATGGCTGGGAATCTCACCCCCATTCCCAGATTCTGACTTTCATTCCCAACCAAGACACATCCTGCTGCAATGCAATGAAGGCTCAGTCTCCATGTTCTATTCTGTCCTTGGCTACATGGGTTTTTTGGCTGCTATCTGTTTCTTGGTGGCTTTCTTGGCCCGAAAGCTTCCAGGGACATTCAACGAAGCCAAGTGCATCACCTTCAGCATGCTGGTTTTCTGCAGTGTTTGGATCTCCTTTGTCCCCACCTACCTGAGCACCAAAGGGAAATACATGGTGGCTGTGCAGATCTTCTCCATGCTGGCCTCTAGCTTAGGCTTACTGATCTGCATCTTTGTCCCCAAATGTTACATCATTATTCTAAGATCTGAATTGAACACCAAGGAGCATCTAATGCAAAAAAAGAATGAGGGGTCCTGATTTTAGAAAATGTTTTTTGTAAGGCTCAGTTTTATTACTTACTTGCATTATAACATAATAATGCCTTGGTGGTAATCTTCTTTTTAAATTTTCTAAACAATCTTTGCCTGTCAGTGTGGGTTCTGAATTATAATGGATAACTACCAGTAGACCTCCATTAGCAATCACAGATACAATGGCTATTCAAATTTGGGATTGTGTTGAACAAGTGGTAGTCATGATGTGTTTTCAAAGTCAGTGATCCCCAATTATTCCAGCTTGGCAGTCCAGCCTGGCATGGGGAGGGGCATGTGAGTGGCAAATGCATGTGCATGCACACAGCTCTGTTTTTGCAAATGGCACTCATGCGAACCCTCCACTCATGCAAATGGTGCTTGAATTCATGCGTGAAGTCCCACTCGCACGAGCAGAGGGTCCTTGAGTGGAGGGTGCTTATGTTTGCTCATGAAGCTCCACTTGTATAAGTGCAGGCATCCTTTGCTCGTGGGAATGGAACTTCATTTGTGAGTGCAAGAGTCCTCTGCACACATGAGTGAAGCTTCGTGTGTTCATGCTTGCCCATCTCTCCCGTGGACCAATAATAGGAATTCCAGTAAGCCCACAGTGAATGATTACAATCTGGTTGCTAGGCAAGTAGTTCTCCCTTGCAATGGTTGCAATATCCTACAATACCATGGTAACCATTAACCAGCTTCCCTGCTGGCTTTCCATAAGCAAAGTCAATAGGGCGGATGATAGGGATGTTTCCAAGTTAAACTCATTGCATTTTCCCCCAAGCAACTTCACTATGGAATACAAGATCTTGTACTCCATAGTGTGAATTTGGGACACAGCAACCCATTACTTGCCCTGTTGCACTTGTGCCTCAAAGCAGCACTCCTTCCCCAGCTCACATGCACGTGTATTGTGCCACAGCAACCTGTCCTCAGCCTGCATGCACTCATGTGTCACTTTACCAATTTTTCCCCAGCTGGCACAGTATTCCCATCCCACATTAGGCCATAGCACTCACCCACTTACAAGCCATCCAGGACTTATGAATTTCTTCCAGCTTTGTGAAGGAAGTTGCAAGTTGCTGTCATTCCTAAAAGGTCCTTAAAGGGGCATGCATAAGTGCACCAGCGTTCCTACCATCCCTGTCTTACTTTCCCCATTTATTTATTATTTGTATTTATTCCCTTTGTTCATATTTATGTCCATACCTATACTTGTTTTCTTGTACATGTTTGACAATAAATAAATAAATAAATAAATGTGAGTTCTTTCCTTAATGACCCGCAATTTTCACTTAACAACAGCAATAAGTACTGCTAAGATAGCCACCACTAAGAAATGTGATCACAGGATATCATACTTGATGAGCACATCCCTTTGAGATAGAAAATCCAATTGCTATTGTTCAGCAAGAACTACCTATAGTGAGACTGAGGAAGTCATCTTTAGAATTCATCGTCTTTGAAACAATTGCATTAAAAGCATATCATGAACTTATATATAAGTTGTCTGAAACCAGTGAAGATAAACTGTCCCTGGGAAATTTTCATAAGCTAGTTTTTAGATGAGTTGAACATTTGTTGTTAACGATGATGACTACGGACATTCTCAGTCATCCAAGTCATGGTTTTCCCAAAGATGCTTTTTCAAGAGGAACTGGACTTTCTGGTTTTTCTCTGAAGACATTTCACTTCTCATCCAAGAAGCTTCTTCAGCTCTGACCTGAATCTGATCTCATAGCCAAAAACATCTGTTCTTCTTTTTTACTCTCACAGTAAATGAGAGAAATCCAACATCCAAATTAAGCC